GGCGGCTGCTGGTGGAGATGGGGGTGATCATCGGCCTCGAGGACGCCGCCGCGCGGCGCGGCGTGCCCACCTCTTGCCGTCCTCGTGCTTCTAGTCAGCTGGGCCAGTCGAGGGGTCTCCTTCGGCTCCGTTGGTTCGAGTCGGGCCTCGGGGGGGCGCAGGGAACTTTCGAAGCCAAGCGCCGTCTCCGAAATTCTCTGGACCCAGGTAATTCTCGTGATCCCGTCCCCGGGCTCTAGCAAGCTTGGAGACCCACAGGATTGAAGATGGGTTCAAGATGTAAAGGTTTTCTCGCCACTTTGGCAACATATACCAGCGTGGATCCCACACAGTGTGCTCTTGTTTTCCGGCGTGTAATATACGTTGTGCACCCAATGTGGTACACATCTGTGCGTGTTGCAATGTACATGGTGTAACATGTGCCATGCCCATCCACCTAAGTGCATGTATGCATACATGTTTATAGATTCAGCTGCCTGCGGCAAGTCCCGCCACCGCGTCAGCCCAGCTTTTCTGGTGGCCTGCGATGACGGCGAGGAGCAAGTTGAGGATGATGTAGGTGATGATGACGATGTTGCTGCTGCTGATGATGATGGTGGTGGTGGTGATGGGTGTGATGATGATGCTGATGCTGCTGCTGATGATGGTGATGATGATACTGCTGATGATGATGGTGATGGTGACGCTGATGATTCTGTTTATGGCGGTGGTGATGATGGGGATGAGGACTGGGACGGCGATGGGGATGATGATGGTCACGGTGGGTATGATGATGGTGATGGTGATGGTGAGGATGCTGGTGATGCTGATTATGCTTATGAGGCTAAGTATACTGATACGGGCGATGATGCTGGTTATGATGATGTTGATGATGGTGATGGTGATGGTGATGGGTGTGGTGATGATACTGATGATGCTGATGATGCTGATGCTGATGCTACTGCTGATGATGCTGATGCTGATGATGATGCTGATGCTGATGATGCTGATGATGATGCTGATGATGGATATGATTATGATGCTGATGATGATGGTGATGATCATAATGATGATGCTGATGCTGATGCTGATGCTGCTGCTGATGATGATTATGAGGATGCTGCTGCTGATGCTGCTACTGATGCTGCTGCTGATGCTGCTGCTGCTGATGTTGATGCTGCTGCTGATGATGCTGATGATGATAAGGATGCTGCTGCTGATGATGCTGCTGCTGATGATGATGCTGATGCTGATGCTGATGCTGACGATGATGTGGAGAAGGAGGAGGAGGAGGAGGAGGAGGAGGAGGAGGAGGAGGGGGAGGAGATGTAGGAGGAGGAGGAGGAGGCGGAGTTGGAGGAGGAGTATGGGTATGGGTCAAGCTAGCCAGCTCGAGCGAGTCAAGCATGGCATGCCCAGTCCCACCCGCCCTCCCACAACATAAGAAGCAAAGCTGGCACAACTGGGGGCCGAAGTCACACCGGCCAGCCGGTTTGGTACAGCTGATGCGGCCGCGATGGCGGTTGCCGACGGGAACTGGCGAGCGCGTGTTGAATGCCGAAAAACAGAAACTGTGTATTGTCTTTTGCAGATTAGAATGGGACGGATTGGATGGGCGGGCGCGGGGTGTGCGCCGCGTCCCATTCCTGCCATGCATTTTGCGACGTGGACGACAGGACGTCCATGCGACGGTGCCAATGACGGCGACGACTCTAGAAGGATTTGAGCATGCGCTCGCGGCGACGCGCGCGCATGTCGCCCGCGTGGTATTTTTTGCACAGGATTCGCGGCCTGGGTGCATGACAGAGCATCGCGAGTGCACCGCGCGATGACGTGAAATCGCTGGATTTGACCGAATTCTTAAGATTCCTATGGTTTTCCTATGATTTCAGCAAGAGAGCCCGGGCAGGAAATTTGTAGAATTTTTGTGAAAAAGCATTGGGTTTTTGATGTTTTTATGTTGAAATGCTTGCAAACACACGGTGTTCGGTAGGATTCTGACATGAACGCGCGCGTGTGCTCTTTGTGGTGTTTTTTGCAATGGATTATCGCCGTGGACGACAGGACGTCCATGTCGAGAGGAAACAATAAGACACATATTGATGTTGTATTGTTTTTTTACAGGTTAGGATGGGACCACCCGGATGGGGCCCCTATCTGCCGGCCTGAGGGGGGAGTAGGAGTATATTCTAATACGGAATAAGGATATGGGTATGGATACATGACAACGTCAGGAAAGCAAGCAATGACAATAATGACATGCTGCATGCAATGCGACGAAGGGCCTACCCTCGAGACGCTCCTCCGCGTCGGGTGGCCTTCTCCGTCTTGCTCAGAACCTTTGGCCAGAGCCCACGGGAAACCCTGGAAAGATATTCAAGCCTGTTGGCAGTGGGACGCTGACATGGACGGCCAAGCCCGTCTAGTAGTTGATGCCCGTAGCATCCACATTTGCCACAGAACCACAATCTCAGTCCACTGTGCCACTGCATTCGATGAGAGGAGTCAACAAAACCCCCCGATATATGCAACAGGGCTTGGGGGGGGGGTTGTTGAACATCACTCCGTTATAGTTCAGGGGCTCGAAACAGGGTGACTGACGCCAGTGGGTGGTCCGCGCCTTTGTGGCCGAGCCCCCACACCGAGTACACCTGCGCCCTGTCTCATCAAGGCAATGGTCGGTAGAGAAGAGGGAGAGAGAGGCAGCTGAGGGGGGCGAGGGGGCAGGGGCGACCTTTTTCCCACGAGGCACAACTCTATTTTCAGCTTCGGCATCGCAGGCATCTAAGGTGGCCCGCAACATCCGCATGCGTACAAGTCGAGCTCTGCGCTCGTGCCACAGAACATTCGATCGCACATCCTGTGAAACTCTCGCCTCCTTGGCTGCGAGGCCCGCCACCTCGTCAACTACAGCATTGCTAGTGACCTTCCATCTCGGTGCCATACCCCTCACAATGTCTTGGGCGGTGAGGTGGGAGTGGGTGAAATCAACTGTGATCGATGCAGCTCCGCCTGCCCGCTCCTTGAGAAGCTGGCCTAGCTGCGCCCACAAATCCTTATCATCGCCTTGGGGCCGATCATAGCGACCTGCGAACCATCCTTTGACTACTGGTTCGCAATTTGAAATGAACAAAATAAAGCCTTTGGTGAGCCAGACCGCGAGCAACACGGCCCTAAGCTCTCCCCTCGCCACGACTTGGCGAGGACCACGCAGGGGGCCGCGCACCGTGCCAATTAGCTCAACGCAGGGCTCGAGCGAGGCAAAGAGAGCCACTGCTACACCAACTCGGCGAAACAGGTTGCTGCTACTGTCTGGCCCTCCGCTTGCATCACCACTGATGAGGAGAGGGCTGTCGGTGTAGCCTTCACCCCAGCACCGTGCAGAGACTGCATTGAATCCCTCAGGGGTCCAGCATTCGGTATCCTGTGGCGGGGGTGCGGCTGTCCAGGCCGCGGGAAGCATGCCCCTGAGCCAACACCCTTCATCCATGTCCATCTGCGCTAGGGCCTGCGGTAACAATTCCTGCGATTCATCGTATGCAACCTTCCCTTGGTTGCATTCGCGCAGCCAGATGCGGTGCTTTGCCGTCTCTGGCTCCTTGCCGCATCGAGGGCACAACACGTTGCCATCAAATCTGGCAATCTCATCTTTGCGCCGCTGCATCGGCCAAGAAGCTCCTACGGCACAAGCAAGCATGGTCTCTGACAGACGATGCCCGTACTCAGGAACAGCTGCCAATTGCTGCAAAAGCACACGGTACGAGGTCACATCCACACCTCGCTCGAGGCCTGCTCCGCAAAAGTGGCGGCTGGCCTTGACCCACAGCTGGTGCCGGAGCGAGGCGCGGAAGTCCTCCAGGAAGGCACTGTGCGAGTCGAGGGCCTTGTCGCCTGTGTACATGGCATTCTTCGAACCTCCACTCGTCGCCCGCTGCCTCATGGGGTGGTGGTATGGTCCAGGCCGTAGGCTCATCCACACCCCATCCTGCCTCCACTAAGTGTAGTACTACAGCTGTGAGAGGCCCTCGTGCATGGCGAGATCGTTGGCCTTCTGGCATGGACCGAAGGTGCTGTGCAACTTGGCGCCGGGCTTGTCGTGCTCCAGGTCTGATCTCGGGGCGGTCCCGCCACGTAGTGAGCCACTGGTCCAGGCAGGCTGTGGGCATTTGGATGGCGGTATCCGCGTCGCCAGCTCGTAGGGCGAGTAGGCTGGTCAAACATCGCCCCCTCGTGGGGGCTGCCAGAGAAAATCCCAGTCGTCGTCGGATATCCGTCATCTTGCTGCCGAAAGTGCCGTGGACCTGGTGTCCATACACTCCAGCAGCTTGGGCGCCCTGTCGCTCGAGGCGCCCGCATGTTTGATACTTCTTGGCCGTCCAGGCGAAACGTCGCACCTTGGCATTCATGCGCTTGCGCTTGGCCTCGCGGACGACGCGGGTCGAGCGTCCGTGCCTGCTGCCACCAGCGACGTCGACGCCCAGGTATGCCGCCTGGAGCTTGGGGAGGATGGTGAAACCTGCCCTCTTGACCCGTATGGCGATCCACTTGGCGTCCTGACTGTGTGAACAAATGACGACGGACTTCGGGGAGACGGGGAGCTGCTTGGCCTGCAGTTCCTGACATGTCTCGATGATGCGCGATGCGAGTTGTCTCCTAACTGCCGACCTCGACCCACATGTCCCTTGCGAAAGGTCGTCTATCCAAATCCGATGGCTCACTCTAGGATGAGCGACTGCGATGGCTGACAGCACGTAGTGGGTCATGGCCTTGCCGAATATCGTGCCTGAGCGGAGGCCCTGCACCACGCTTCGCGTCGGCTGAAAAGCCCGCGATGTGGCTCCAAGCTGGCTCACTGTGCGTGCTGCCGCGCACTGCAGCAGCTCGAGGTAGAGGATCCTCGGTGGGAAGGACAGGTTGAGGGAACATAACGCTGGCCCTGGCCACTCGATGGAATCGTAAAATGATTTAGTGTCAACCAGGCCCTCTCCGACAGCGATGCCCAGATGATGTGGCACTTCCTGCTGGAGGGCTCTTACAAATGCTTCCCTCAGACTGGAGTTCCCTCGGACTGCTGCGTCCCAGGACGCCTCCGTGTCGCTGCTCCACTGTCGCACCAACGGTTCACGGATCAAACTCCATAGTCTGCCAACCATTGAGACGAGCCCGATGATGCGGTCGCCCGTGCTCTTCTTGGGCAGCATGCGCCCAACGATCATGAGAACCTGAGCGGGCCAAACGAGATGGTATTCACAAGCCTCGAACAGCAGCGCCAACTCAGCGATGGCCGAATCTGGGAGACGCTCGAAGCCCCCTGGGGAAAGCATGTCGACGCCAAGCCCCGCTCGGGGCCGCATCTGTCGCAAGGCTGCTCTGATGTCCTCAACCGAGATGGGTGGTAGAACATCGTCCTGAGCTGCCTCCCGAACCTGCTGAAAGGTATGCTGCACTAACTCCTCATCCATACTGTGAGGCGCCCATAGATCATGCCAACCACGAGCCTTGACGTCTATGGTGTCCTTGGGATGGTAGAGCACCTCCCCCTCGTGGTCGAGTTCTTGTGCTGGTAGACCCTGTGGGTCCAATGAGCGATGCAGCGTGCCTATAGACTCGGCCGTGCCCATAAAATTTTTGAAAACTCGAATGGACTCCTGGACTGCACGTCGCTGTGCTCTGCCCATGACACGCTTGGACAAGAAGACGTACTGCTCCAGCTCCTTGGCGGGCACCTCGCTTGCAGCTCGGATGACCCGCACCCATTCATCCCATGGTGGTTCGCGCTCAGCTAGCAGAGCTCGCCGAGCTTCGTCTGGTCGGGTGTCCAGGTGTCGTACACAGGCAGCCGTATACTGAGCAACCTGTCGTGGTCCATTACGCTTGTCACGATGCAAGTGTAGTCCTGAAAGAAGTGTGTGTAGTTGCGTCCACCATGCACTGACTTGATCTCTAAGCGCCGCAACTCGCGCTGTGCCAGGCATTTTGACGGTGGTCACTTTGAAACGTGGCCCCTCTGCTCGACGTGGGCCTGGTGGAATCTCAACTCCATGGTGTGTAGAAATGCTGGCTTCGACAGCGGACACCCAGGAGGCGTAGAGGCCTGAAATAGTAGAGACAAGATCTGGTTTGAGCCGAACGGCTACGGACTGACGCAGAGCAGGAGCAAGGGACTGAAGCGAGAACGAGCCAGGTGTAAACCCGACTTCCCTCCGACACCGCTCCCACAGTTCAGGAGGTATTGCATAAGTCGGGGCTCCTCCAGAGACTTCCACGTCAGGGTCCGAGGGCAGGTCTCCAACACGCTGGGAATCCAGGGTCTGCGCCTGGGATGAGCCAAAGGTCGGAGCAGCGGCCGAGCCCGGCAGCACCACCCCCACGCCCTCGACCCCCCCAGACGGATTTCCCCCAGACTCCCAGGCCCCAGACTGGACAGGTTCAGAACAAGACGAATTCCCAAAACTTGTAGTGTGAAACGGGCCTAGAGGGTTCCTGGGGACGAGGAGGAGGAGGAGGGAGGAGGAGGAGGAGGAGGAGGAGGAGGAGGAGGAGGAGGAGGAGGAGGAGCAGGAGGAGGGAGGAGGAGGAGGAGGAGGAGGAGGAGGAGGAGGAGAGGAGGAGGAGGAGGAGGAGAGGAGGAGGAGGAGGGGGGGGAGGGGGAGGGGGAGGAGGGGGAGGAGGAGGAGGAGGAGGAGGAGGAGGAGGAGAAGGAGGCGGAGGAGGAGGAGGAGGAGGAGGAGGATGGAGGAGGAGCAGGAGGAGGAGGAGGAGGAGGAGGAGGAGGAGGAAGAAGAATAATAAGAAAAACAAAATGAGGGGGAATACGAGGATGAGGATGAGGAGGAGGAGGAAGAGGGGGAGGAGGAGGAGGACGAGGAACGCCGTGAAATCTGGCGGCAAGTCTGGGGCTTCTTGCGGGCCTGTTTTGGGCCTCTTGTGGCCTCCTGGGGGCCTCTTGTGTCGGATGGCTCGAATAGTCGGTTCGTGATTCCCCTCTTGGGGCCATCTTGGGACCCTATTGGGCCGTCTTCGGCGCACTTTTGGAGCTCTCTTGGGTCGTCTTGAGGCCCTCTTTGGCGTCTCTCGGGCCGGATCGGCGCAGTCTTGGAGGTCTCTTGGGCTGTCTTGGAGCATCAGAGTGTTGAAAAGGCGAACACCCCAACAGCATTGGCTCTGGGGGCCTGCCTTCTTGGGAAGGCTCTTCGTGCTCTTTTGGAGCGCCTCGAAGGCCTTATGGGCCGTCTTGAAGCCATCTTGGGCCGTCTTGACAGATCAAAGTGGCCCGTCTTGCAGCGATTTGGGCCGTCTTGGAGGCATCTGGTCGGGAGATGGGGAAAGCCCCCCAGACAGCATTTGGCGTTCTATCACGCCCCACCGTGCCAGGGGGTACGGTGGCGGACAAATGGATACGTTGTGCAAGTCATGTGGTGTAAGCTGAGCTGTCGGATGGTCCAACACATGAGGTGCAATGCATGCGGGGCAACCGCTGTGGTTGTGGTAGTCGGATCAGCAGCGATAGATGTCGCAGGCAGTAGCAGCAGTAGTCGTGCTTCGGCGAGATGGCGGTTGGGGCAGGCTCGGCCTACAGACGCCAGGCGAAGGCTGGCAAACCCGTGGCTGCCAAAACAGAGCGATTTTTTCTTGTTTCCCTTCCGGGAAGCAGCCCGTTTACCACTGAGTGCGCCGAGTTTGATTCCGGGATTTTTTTTGCCTCCCGGGAAGAGCGTTTCAGCGGCCACGGCTTGGCCGGCCCCCGCGCTCGACGGGTGTGCAGGGTCCAACCGGCAGGTTCGGTGAGGATCTGCAGTTCTTACCAGCCTGGAACCTATCCCTATCCCTACGTTGGGCATCGCCTCATCACGATGGCGATCTTAGGGATTCCCTCAGTTTCTGAGGGCCCATCCCTAAGATTGTCCTCGCTTCTTGCTCGCCCATCTTAGGGATAGGGATAAGTTCGAGGCTGGTTAACAGGGCTGGGCCCGCGCCGCCCTCGAGAGGCCGAGCGGCCCGGTCCCGGGCCGCGCCGGGCCAGGCAGGCTCGCCTCCGCCCTGCGCTCCTCCTCCGGTGCTCAGGGGCTCCCACGAGGGCGCGCAGTTCTTCGCGCTTCGCGCTCCGCGGTCCTCGCCCCTTCTCCCCCTCCTCCTCGTCCTCCTTTTTTCCCTGTGGGGGGGGGCGGCGCGAGAACGCGAACTTACTCGCGCTTCGCGCTCCGCGGTCCTCGTTCCTTCTCCCCCTCCTCCTCGTCCTCCTGTTTTCCCTTTGGGGGGGGCGGCGCGAGAACGCGAGGTTTATTCGCGCTTCGCGCAGCGCGAAGCGCGAAGTTGGGAGCCCTCGGTGCTCGTGCCGATCCGCCAAGCGCGGAGATCGGATGCCGCCGCAGGGCTCTCGCTTCGATTCCTCCGCGTCGGTTCGGGTCGGTTTCGAGGGCTGCCGACTCCGATTCCATTCGACTTCGGAACCCGATTTGGGCTCCGGCTTCGTACCGGAGGCATACCAGGCTGACGACGTCCGCCGCTTCGACTTCTCCCGACTCGGCTGCCGATTTCCGCCGATCCGATCCATTCGGATCGCCGATCCGACTTTTCGATGCGGTTCTGGGCTCGCCCGCCGCTGCTCTTCTTCGGCGGCCGCGCCGATCGCCCCTGGCCGGTGCCGTGCCGAGCCTCCCCCCGGCCCGTGCGGGGTCTCTGTCGGAGCTCCCGGCTCGGGGCCTGTGTCGGAGCTCCTGGCTCTGGGCCGGCCCAGGCTCCGAGAGGGGAGCTGCGCGCCAGGAGGCAGCAGCAGACGGCGCTTCCCCCCCCCCCCGCGGCTTAAGTCGGGCCTGTCCCCCCACAGGGAGATTTTCGACGAAGAATAAACAGTACCCCAAAAATGCCCCCCAAAGGAAAAAGACACTAAAAAGATAGTCCCCCGACTATTTTGGAACTATTTTTTGATTATTTTTCGGGTATCTTTTATTCTTCGTCGAAAATCCCCCTGTAGGGGGACAGGCCCGACTTAACGCTTTCCCCCCCCGCGGCTCGGACGAAGGGGAGGGGACCGGAAGCGCAGCCCCGCCGCCCGGGGCGCTTGCCTCGACACACTGGCGCCTCTGGCGCCGAGAGGCTCCGGGAGAGTCAGCAGCGTGAGCCGATTCGCTTACCCCCCGTTCACTGGGTCAGAACAGGTGCCCCATCCCTTGATCGACTAGACGTAAGAGTGACCTTTCGCCGGAGTGACCTTTGGTGCGGGCACAGATGGGTCTCCAGATGGCTGAAAACGAGGCAGTAGCAGCTGCTTGCGCGCCCAGGTTTGGTCCCCCTGCGGCCCCCAGAAAGTCGCGCACCACAGGTCACTCTTACCCAGGGTCACTCTTGCGTGTAGCCGCCTTGACACACTGGCGCCTCTGGCGCCGTGAGGCGCTGGGAGAGTCAGCAACGTGAGCCGATTCGCTACCCCCCCGTTCACTGGGTCAGAACAGATGCCCAAGCCCAAGAGCGCGAGGGCCAAGACAAGATGCAGGCTCCTCGCGACTTCGGGGAGGGAGATTTCGGGGCAGGGTTTTTACCAGGGCGACGACGACGAACGAAGGACATCCCCCGAAATCTTTCTGGCCGATCTTTGACTCCTCGGTGAATCCTCGACTTTGGGATTGGGGATGTGTTTTCTCGTGGCCACCCGTTCTCTCCGCCCTGACCCGGCCCCCCCTCGCCAGAACAGCAAGGGCGAGAAGCAGGTGGTCTTCGAGGAGGTCTCCCGCGCCGACCTCGTGGCCGAGTACAAGGGGCAGACTGCTCCCAAGGTGCTTCCGCCCGCCGTCGAGGAGTCATTCGCTGGCGGCTTGCTCGGGCTTCGGTGATGTCAGGGGAGGCCCTGGTTCAGAGCCCCGAATCATCAGGGGTAACTCGGGTCAGGGCTAACTCGGGTTCGTTTTTCGGGATTCCGAACCCGAGTAACCCCGGGCCCGAGTTACCCCGGATAACTCGGGCGCCCAGAGCCCCGAATCATCAGGGGTAACTCGGGTCAGGGCTAACTCGGGTTCGTTTTTCGGGAATCCGAACCCGAGTTACCCCGGGCCCGAGTTACCCCGGATAATTCGGGCGCCCAACTGGTACTGTCAAGACGCTGAAGTAAAGACAACGTCTGGGCTCCAGCGAGGCTCTGGCTTTCGGGCCGTTCCGTCTCGTGGCCTTCGGCCCATCCCGCCACCGTGACCCGGTTGTGATTAGGTCAGGGGCCTCTTGGATGCCTGTGGGGATCTCTTGGGAGTCCTCTCGGAAGCCTCTTGAAGGCGGTTTTGGGGTGTCTTGGGGGGTCTCTCGGTGGCCTCTTGGGGGGCTCCTGGGACCTGATGTGGGTTTCTCGCGGGCCTGGGGTCATCTTGGGGCGGAAGGCTCGACATGTGGGTTCGCGTTCCCCCTCTGGGGCCATCTTGGGACGTGTTCGTGACTTCTGGGGCCGTCTTGGGGCCGTCTTGGGCCGTCTGGGGGTCCCTCTCGGGAGCCTCTCGGGCCGTCTTGGGGCCATTGGGGCCTCTTGGGTCGTCTTGGTCGGTCAGAAAGCGGGAGGGCGACACCGCCCAAATCTTTCCAAAACCTGAGTGTGATAATTGATTTTGGCTTCTTGGGGTCCTCTTGGAGCCCTCTTGCGGGACCTTTTGGAGCCCTCCCATTGTGCCTCGAGACGCCTCGACCTGAAGTGGTCCAGCCAGTCTCTCCTGAGACATCCTCCCAGCACCAGCCACATAGTTAGAGGGTTCTTGCCCGACCGCTGGCCGGAGCTACATGCTGGGACGCTCATGATAGCAACGTTGAAAGGGTTGTCCTGGTTGCCCAGTGGGTTTGTCTGGGTATTTTTGTTGATCGGACTTTCCCCCTTGAACATACTAGGGCGTTTTGACGGCCCTTTGGGCCGTCTTGGGCCATCTTGAGCATCTTGGAGCGTTCTTGGGCCGACTCGGGGCCCGCTTGGACTCTTGGACCGTCTTAGGGGCCTCTTGGGGCTCTCTTGGCTCGTATTGGGGCCCTCTTGGCTCCAGAAAAGTCAGGCGGGAACACTACTGGGCACGCCCCATTACGCGTTACGCCAGAGGAACTCCGACAATTTGGGATCAGGGCTTTTTCATATTGTAAAATTGCGGGCTGAGGACTCGAAGGACTTGAGGACATTCCAACTCGCGCCTCAGGGCACGGTGGCGGATACCTGGGTTTGGGAAACTATTCGTGGCCGAGGCCCACTGTGACCAGGAAAGCCCCTTCGTTCTTTATTCAGCTTCACGTTTCTCCAGCTCCAGTTGGTCTCCCCTCCAGTTTTGCCCTGGCCAACACTTGTAGTTCTACGCACTTTTCGCTTCGTGTGTCTCCAGCAGCGCGATCTTGGGGCCGCCTTGGAGTGTGACATATCGAGCGTCTCGGCGCGAGCCTCGACGCACGTTGTTGGCCACCGTGTGGCAATCTTTTTGCGTCCTTTGGGTGTGTCTTGACGCGGTCCTGCGGCCCTTTCGGGGCCGACATGGAGCCTAAGAGCCTGGCAGCGTTTACCGAGGACGGCTTTGGAGGCATCCTGGAGCGCAGTGTTTGGCGGGCAGGCAGCATGGAGTTTTTGGGCATACTTGTAGCGTATTGGAGGCCTCCTGGGGGCTTCTTGGGGGGTTGTTTATGGTCGACAAGGCCTCATTGGCTTGTCAGGTCGCCGTGCGCTTTCGTGCAGCATTCGAGACGCTACCTGTGGAGGAAGATGGAGAGAAGACGAACAGTAACATGTTTTGAAATGTCACACTGCGACACACATTCATCTATACACGCATGCACGCATCCAGTGGCCTTCGGTTCAGCCCGCCACCGTGCCTGCCTGGGTAGTGGGACAAGACTAGATGCCTCCTGGTGTCCCTTGGGATGCCTCTTGGGGCCTCGTGGAGGTCTCTTTGGAGCCTCTTGGGGGTCGCCGCTAGTCTCTTGGAGACCTCTTTGGAGCCTCGTTTGGCCTCTTGGTGGCCCCTTGGGTGCTTCTTGGCGGTCTCGGCAAGAGGGATTCAGGACGGTACCAGGGACCATTTTAGGCCACGCTGGAAGTGTGGAATCCCAACCGTGCTTCCGAGGTCTTTGAAGAAGTCGTTCGAGCCGCTTCGGTAGCGCCGAAGAGCGTCCAGAACTCCAGGCCTTTGGCACCTTAAAGAGCAGAGCTCGAAGGGTCCTGAAGACACTCTGCACTCAGCGCCTGCGGCATGGTTTCGGATACACAAGCACGCATACACACACACACACGCATGATCTCTTTTTAACGATTCGTTCTTTCGTGTTCTCTCTCTCTCTCTCTCTCTTCTTCTTCCACATCTGCATCTCGGCAGTGGTGCTGTTTTCAGTCGGGGCGTCGGCTTGAGGCTGGCTCGGGGCCGCCGGCCGCGATCTGCGGGCGACCGCGGCGGCCGCCTCGAGAGGCCGGGCTCCTCGGGAGGGCGCCGCGGGCCGGGATCTTCGGGGCTCCCGGGGAGCCGGCGGCCTCCACGCCGCCCTCTCCCGCACGGCGCGGGTGGGATGGCAGGCCGGGCCGC